GAATTTAAGAACAGTACTAGACTGGCTGCAAGGTCTCACTATTTTACAGTTGAAATGGCTGCTAGATGTAACCATGAGTTTTATGCTAAAAGTTTCTTTTCTCACTCGAGGAACTCTCTTCCGGCTTTTTGCTTTCCAGTCATATTTGATCTTCAAAAATTTAAATTTCCCTATCTTCATTTTAATTCCTATTGTTTTATTGTTCTCACTCCTTAATGTTTTATTTTCTTTTTCTTATATTATTTTACACTGTATAACTATTTGCGTCTTAGTGGCTTTATTGTCTAGCCTGGGGCGAAAAGATTAAAAAAAAAATAAATCAAATTTGTTTGAAACAATATTTGTAAAAATTTTTAATGATTAATTTAGACATCAAAACAAGACAAAACTTGAGTTCAATTTTTAGTTTCAACAAGTTTTATTAAAGTTATTGCATTTATTATAAAATCTGCAGTCTGAAGTTATTATGCAAAACAAGAAAATCCCTTTTTGCTTCAATAACAAGGAAATAAAATCATCAACAATTAATCAACACCTATAATAGAACAAATAACATATATGATATGTCCGTGAAGCATTTACATCTTAATAACATGACCTTTTTCTCAATAACAGCCAACAATCTATTATCCATTGATTTTGTTAAATTTTTTACTTCAGCAGATTCAATTTCTGACTTGGCTGTTTTAATTGCTTCCCATAGGTATGTTTTTCTATTATATTGTTTGCCACCGTTAAACAATTTCATCTTCACAACTGACCATAGATTTTCGATAGGATTCAGATTGGAATTTGATGGTGGCCATTCCATTATCTTCTCTTCTGTAAACCTGTTACGCTCAAAACATTTATGGGTAACCTTAGATACATAAGAAGGAGCATTATTATGCATAAATACACAGAGGAGGTGGTTCTTTAGCCAGACTTAGTATTGGTCACACATACATAACCCACCAACATCTCCTAAAAAACGAAAAATCTAACCCCCCCACCACCAAAAAAAAATTAAAAAAACAATGCATTTTTGAAAAACAAATTTACCAGCTATATATATTTGAAAAAAAGAAAAATATATATTATCAGCTATACATTTTTTAAAAAAAAGGAAAATATTACTAGCGATACATAATTGAAAAATTATTACCAGAAATAGAATTTTTGAAGGAAAAATATTCACTGTCGAAACTCCTAAATGTAGCCGTCTCTTCTACTCTAATAGCTTCATGTCTTGCACCTCTCGCCTGTGGAACTCCCTTCCCTATTCCTGTTTCCCTGTGAGCTATAATCTCCAGCTATTCAAGTGTAATGTCAATCGACATCTCCAGTTGCCTTGATCTATCCCCTACCCTCATCCTTTCTTCTATCACTCCTATCTGATCTTGCTCTAAATTTTCTGTAACCCCTTGCGTCCTAGTGACTTCCCGCCTTGCTTGGGGTGAAATGCTTAAAAAAAAAAAAAAAAAAAAAAAAAAAAAAAAAAAAAATTACCAGAAATAGATTTAAAAAAAAAAAAAAAAAAATTACCAGAAATAGATTTAAAAAAAAAAAAAATTACCAACAATAAATTTTGACGGCATTAAATGACCCATTGAAGTTGATATACCGTAAAATGAAAACAAACCAAATCCAAACATGAATACACACTTCACTTTGAAATTACAAGGCTGGGACTTATACCAACTGAAGTAAGTCTTAACCATAATATTGCAATATTTAGAACTTTTTAGTTTAACAACTTGATAGACTTTGAATGGTTCAATTATGGTTTGCTCAACAATTCCAGCCCATATCATCACACTGCCTCCTCATTGCTACCTTCTAGCTACAGGCACATCTGAATCAGATAGAATACATCCTTAATCCCATTCATCAGGTTCATCATGTCACCTGAGATCGATCAATCAAAATTACTTTAGAAAGATCAATTTTCATGTAGTTCTTGGCGCAATGTTGAGCTTTTAAAAAAATTGTTCAAAGCGCAACGTTGACTTACTGAAGATTATGTGATTTACATATTAACTTCAGACGCACTATGTGTGTGTGTGTGTGTGTGTGCTTATGTATTTTTCATGGAGTTGTCATTTTTCTTTTTCATATTTTATTAACACCAGATGTGTTATGAAAACTTGAATAAATGCTATTTGAACTATATAAGATTTAAGAAACAGCAGATATTTTTATATATAGTAGTCAATATTTGATTTTCTGTGAGGAGTTTGCCTAGGAGATCTTTTGACAGATCCCAGTTTGTGAAGGTAGAAGGGATATAATCTCCCCCCAAACAAACTTGAACAGGCAAAAGTCCTGTGGGCATCTGTTTCAGCCAATCCTAACACTGACACATTGATTTGCTAGCATAGACCAATCACTGCACTTCCAGAGTATCACATGACCGTTTATCATTCTCCTTTTCACTTGGCAAGTGAAGCTGGGCATACTGGACTTCCCTATGCCCACCAAGCTGGAGCAAAAAATAGAGTAGGGAGAAAGAAAGTTAAGGAAAATAGTTTGATGACTAAATAATGACGCTATGAACTTATAGAAATAAAAGAAATTTGAACAGTCGAATCTATCAAGTCATCCAGCATTTCTTGAAATTATTCCAGCAGGAAATAAATAATCCCATTTTCAACCATTTTTTTCTTTTTGCTTTCTTTAGGGAAACTGTTTCCTGAACTTTTATTTTGGATGGCATGTTGTGTGGAGAATACATATAAACAGGTACCTCCAAAAATTCATGATACATAAGGTTTAAAATGAATTTTTAAAAATGAAAAATATTTCTTCAAGCTTTTATTTTAGTTTTAATTTCAAGATATATTAAATTTAATATTTCCAATAAGTAAATTACTTTGCTGTATTTCCAAACTAACTTAGATTGTCTGGAAGCAGTTTTTTTTTTTTAATTAGTAAAATTTCTGATTTTAGTACTATTTTAGCCATCTTTCAACACAATGTAATTCTCTTTATTTAAAAAAAAAAAACTTTCAAAAATAAAATATACTTTTCTGAAACTTTATTTGAGGAATATTAGTTGATTTAAAGTTTAATTAATCTAATTTGAAACAAATATTACTTTAAAATATCACAGAAATGCGTTTTTTAACACAGCAGTAGCTGTTTGTGTTTAGAGCTTGACTGATAGTTTACCTAATTTTTTTCTACGGTGGACATATTTATAGCGTGAGCACCTTTTTATATAATTTTTAACTACTCCATAATCTTAAAAATTTAGGAAACTATTCTCTGTAATCTAATGTTTATAATTGAATTTTAGGTACTTTGACCTCAAATTTACTATGGTTATCGACATTATTTTCTGATAATGTTGTGTTTGGACGTTTGTATTTACAAAAATCAGAATGTTTATACACACACAAAAAAAATCGAAATTATTTTTAAAATATTGGGTGTCAATAAATTGCACTAAGCTTTTCCATTTATATAAAAATGAAATGATTAATAATAAGCAATTTGTAAATTTAACAATATCACCTCTTTCAAAGAAAGAATTTTAAAACATTTCAAACTTTATATTATTATAATTAAAATTTTAGCACAATAAAACAATTCTTGTAAAAATTAATTTTTCATTGAAAAAAAAGTTAAGGCAATAATTCGTAAAAAAAGCAAATAAAACTTTTTTTTTAATACAATAATGTCTTGCTTAGTTAAGGTTTTTTTTATTTTATGATTCAAGGCAGATTTTCGTTAACTGGGTGTTCTGTTGTACAAAAAAAAAAAAAAATTAATTCCCAAATCAATGTTTTTTTTTTTTACCAACGCGGCCTACGAACGCACTTTCTGTTTAAAACTCGACTTTTTTTTGTGTCATGCGGTTCGTTAGGTCTCTATTGACAACAACAGTTCTTAATATTAATGAATGAGACAATCGAAAGTACTTGAACAAAAACAAAACATGAATTTGAGACAGTTTATCGATCCACAACTTATTCGAAAATTGGAAAACAACATTTTTTTATCAGATAAGCAAGCCTTGTCGATTGAATTTCACAAAAAAAAAAAAATTTGTTTATATGACTATTTTGTGCATATATATATATATATATATATATATATATATATATACATACACAAGATCATAAAACAGGAATAAATCAGTCAATTGGAAGTATACTTTTCAGCGGATTTCCTCCAAATACAATTGATAAAACATGATGAATCGGAAATATTTACAAACTGTAATTTTTCCTCTATCACCGGTTACGTTGGAAATTTGTTTTTTTACATGTATTTTTTTTAAAACCGAAAGAATTAAATAATTAAGACAACCATAATTAATCATTTTTATTATCAAAAAGTAGAGATTAATAACTTATCAGTTAAATAATTATTAATGACAATTCTATTAGTTTTAATATTTTTCTTCTAAAAAAAGAAGCTGGAACAGAGAAAACGTTATCTAATTAAAGAACTGGATATTGTTTAGGTCATGAAATCAATTCATATTCATTTAAATTCTAAATTCTGTTATTACATTTTAAAAAAATACGATTTTATATGCAAAAATAAAACAGAATTCAGATTATGAATACTAAAAACAAGGCCATTATGTGCGGTATTAAACAATATTTTATTAAGTAATTAAAATTTTAAATAATTAATTTCTTAGTGTGGCTGAGGTTTGATCTTTTGTCTGAATTCTGTTTGCTGTGATAAACTTATTAATCATTTCATTTTTAAATTTTGTTAATAACATCGAATTCAAACAGTAACTAAAAAATGGTCATTCTTTCTTTCAGCTGTTAAATACCCACATTCTTTTTAATTAGTTTATCGACAGCTAAAAAAAAGTTGGTGCTAATTTTAAATAAAATATTTTAAAATAATTTACGAATGTAGTAAAAACAATTAGTAACGTCAAAAAAGACAAAAAAAAAATTAAAAAAAAAAAAACAATATCATTTTTTGCTGAGAATTCTAAGTCTTTAAAAGAATTCGACATTTTAGCAAACTTGAAGAAGTTAAATAGTACGAACCAGTTCTCCAAGAATTTATCAGACATGTAATCATCTTCGTCTACATCTTCAGTGGCCATGGTTTCTTTCCAAAAATTTAAAATTATTTTTTCACAAGCTTTTGTTCGACTGGTATAAAAAGGAGAAAAAAAACTTTATTTTCAAGAGGCTTACCTAAGGGACATAACTCTAGTTGCCTTAAACACCAATAAGCTTGCATTATTTGTTTTTCAGAGGAAAGGGACTGTTTAGTTTTTAGTTATACTCAAGAGTTTAAATTAAAACTAAAAGCTAACGTGTGAAAGGGTTCAGAAGCCCGTCATAAAACGCACAAAAATGGAGTGTATTTAAGTAGCAATTTTTTATTTATACAAGTTTGATTAAAGACCAACAAAGATCGGTAAATTTTGGTTTTGTTTCCCGAGCGCTAATATCACTTAAAATTTTTCCCAAATTGTCATAATTCCGTGATATTAGCACTCGGGAAACAAAATCAAAATTTACCCAAAGATCCTTTTTTATTTTTAAAGAATTATTTTTTTCTATATTTCAAAGAATTTTTAAAATACAGAAAAAATAAATAAAAAGTCCTTTCACTGGTTTTTAGCCAAATCTCTACATGATGGTTGTCAACTCATTAAATGAGTATGACAATCACTGACAAATATTAACAATGACTCTTGAAGCTGGCAATGTAGGCCATTGATTGTTGAGGAATTTTTGTGCCTCATGTGTTTGCTTTATGGCTTTTCGAATGTTTGGTTAGTTCAGATTGAGTAGAACATTTGTGTTTTAACCTGACAAGCTTGATAGTTACAACGTAGTCTCATTGTGTAACGTTTCATGTGACTAGAGACCTGTTTGGGATAAATAAACATTGCTTTAAAAAAATGAAAAATTTTGGATATTTTCATTGATGGCGTGCTCCTTTCTAGCCATCCACGTGGTGTTTAAGTTAACCCAATTGAGGATTACTGGAAAATTTTTATCTCTTCTTGAATTCTAGATCTCCATTTGATTCTGTCAAGAAATGTAACTTTGTAGACATATATATAATGTATATGTGTATGTCTTTTATATTATGCATTTATCTGTAATTATCAAAATACATATTTGTTTATTTTTGTCAGGTAAGTCAAGGTATACATTAATTGTTTTATTTTTTTTAAGTGTTTTAGCAAGTTTACTTTATTAAGAATGTCTATTATCATTAAAAACAATTATATTAAGAACATTTGTAGGAACATTATTATTATTATAAATAAATAAAAATAAAATATAATAATAATAATAATGAAAATTATAAATAAAATAAATCAATAGCATAAAAACGTTGTATAAAATAAATAAAATAATAAAATGCTCCCAGCATGCAACAAAAACTGTTCCTGCCAGAAATACAGACATCCTGCCAAAGACGTTAAATTCAATCTCTTCGCCATGAACCTTGCTACAGGCAACACATACCTGACTTCTCTCTGTGATATGGTGTAATTTCTCTCTTTTATCCCATATACCATAAAGCAATCATAACCTAAAAAAATACGCACAAAAATATAAATAAATTCTATGAACTAACATACCGTGTTTTTTGTTATTTCTGCATGTTTTATTTTCTGTCAAGTATGCTTTTATGTCCATGAACACAAAGCTAATTTTTGCAACTATGATGTGAGTAAATCCCCCACACATTTAATACATTTTATTTGTTAAATTACTTATACATTGTCATGAATAATTCTACTCTATTTATAATATTGAAGCATTACATTTCTCTTTTTATAAAAGAGGACATCATTTTTTAAATTGTAGGAAAAGCATTTCAAGTTGTAATGTTTGTTTTGTTTAGTTTTGACTTTGACTATTGGTTCAGTATTGTTGATTTCTTTTCCTATCATTTATCATTCAAACATTTGCTGATAATTTTATTCTTTTATCCTTTTCTTATGTATTGATTGTAGAACATAACATTTTTATGGACATATTTTCAAATTTGTAAGAAAAGCATTTCAAGTCATAACATTATTTTGTTTTGTTTACTTTCTTTTTTACTATTGGTTCAGATCAGAATAGTCAATTTCTTCCTCTGTTATTATTCATCTTTCAAATAATATTAACAACAACAATAATAAAAAATGTTCTCATATATTTGATGATAATTTTATACTTTTATTATTTTCTTATTTATAGTTTGGTTTCTAAAGAAATAACAATAATAAATGGTACATTTAAATGAACTGTTTACTCCAACATTCAGTGTAAAATATATATGTGTGTTTATATGTATATGTTTCTATGTGCATACATTTGATGGGTGCTCCTTGTCATGGTGAAGAGGTTTGCATGGTTTAATGACTCTGAAAGCAATGCCATTAGGAGTTATAAACTCCTGGTAATGGCCACCCTTGGCAGCAAGGTTAAGAACAAGAATCCAGATTAAGTGTGACCAACTCCAAAGACCCCAACAGTTGAACCAATGGATGAAGATGGCTATGCATAATGGACGTACTACAAATGGCACCACTCAAATTTTTAACAGAGTCTGCGGCAGTCCATTGCAGTTTTATAACTAGATTCTCTATATCTCATTCCATGTGCCACAGAGAAAGGTCATGAAATCAAATGTGTTGGTCACTTCCTAGCAAGTTGAAATCCATCTTAAACAAATTCATACCATCAGCACTTTCTTCCCCTCTGATTTTCTTTCTTTCACCACCAACCAACTCTTGTAAATCAAAATGGCAATAGGGAATGGATGTCAGGAGCAGGTTTTGGTGAAACTTGAAGCTTCTAGTCCTGAACCTGTATGTTGGCAGCAAATTTAGTCATCAATGTCATTATCATAAAGGAAGTGATCAGCAAAGAAGAAATTAAATTCTTGAATATGAGATAAAGTCACCATCGCCAATGTATACCTGTGTTGTGTGCTTGTGCCACTTGATGTACACACAAGCACACATACACATAGAATTTGACTGAATTTGAAATAGGACATAAGAATAATTCACTCCCCACCAACTCAGTATAAACAAACCCTAACCTGGGTTGAGAAATAAAATCATAAAGTTGGAGACAAAAAAAAAAAAAATTAATTTTTAAACTTTAAAAAATCAGATAATTATAAGATTTTATTGAATTTTTTTGGATATTTTTCTGTAATAAATACAAATATTTTTTAATATTTTTTTAAAATTTTGTAGAAATATTTTGAAGTCTACCACTGAATTGAAATATACACATACACACAGAATTGGAATGAAATTGAAATGAACATCTGTGTCATGAGAGAGGAACTAATATCCCTTTCTGTTCTACAACAGCCACTGGGTATCAAGAAAAGAATATAAACTAAAATGACATTAAAATCATTTTTATGACTATTTCTTTAAAGTTTTAAACTGAATATATTTTCTATTAAATGTAATATTTTAAATGGACAAATAATTTCTATTTTAAATTTGATTATCTGTCTGTCAGTGAAGCAACAGGTAGCAAACTGGTAAACCTTTAATTACAATAATATCTGGCAAGTATTTAAAAGCAGTTCTCATGCCTGATGAGCTGTTAAACAACAAAACTTATGTTGCACCCAAAACTGAGGGACAGATAATCAAATTTAAAATCTAAATTATTTGTTCATTGTTCAACAGTGGATGGATATCAGCATAGACAGTCTACTTTTACTGGTTTATACATGCGTTTGGATTCTTTTTGCCCTAAGAAGTGTAAAATAAACCTTATAAAAACTTTAATGCATAAGGCATTGAAAATCTGTCCTGAAGATTTCCTCAATAGTGAAATCAGTTTTATAATGAGAACTTTATGCAATAATGGTTATTGATTCTAGTCATAACGAGATTCTCCCCCCTCACCAAATAAGTTCTTTATTGTATGAATATGAATGTAACTGCTGTCCCAGTTACATAGGGAGAACTACCCAACGGCTTGATACTAGAATTAAACAACATGACACATCGAAAATTACGAACCACACCTTACAATAAAATGACCCCATCTGCAACACATATTGTTCCTCAATTTGCTAACACGTGATAAATAGTAGAAAGTATGCTATAGAATTTGGTGTGGATTGGTTTTCTGTTTTAGCCAATTTACACTCATTTTTCCATTTGAAAGTGCTGGAGTCTATTTACATCAGGTCTTGCAGACCCTCACTGTGTGAGAAACAAGTGTCTGCTGGGCCTTGTGTGACCAGTTTCTGGTATTTCAAAATTTTAATATTTTTTTTCCCCATTGACTAAATCATATTTTATATCTATTATAATTTACCTGAAATTATCCTGATGAAGAAACTTTGATAAGCAGGAGCAAAATCGGTGTTTTTTTTCCCTCTTTTTATTTTCTATCCCTCATTTATGCCTCGTAATGTTAAGCTTAATAGTTTTAAAGTAATACTCAACTTTTGTACCACTAAAAATGTATTTAAATATATATATATATATATATATATGTATGTATGTCATCCTCCTCTGCTCATATCACCACTTCAAATGTATCCAAGTTGTAACGAAGCTTTACATCTCCACACAAAGGCATTAGCTAGATCCAGTGACAGGACCCAAAGAGTGTGAGTTCAATACCCGGTTAAGGCAGTGGAGAACTTTCAGAGGGAAATTAACAAGAGATAACTGATAATTGATATCCATTAAACATGGTATGTAGAACTAGAACAGTCTACCCCAGTGAGCGAAATAAAGGGTTCAGTTTGATATTCCAACCACCTGACGAAGGCCAGAAAGTACAATGGCTGAAACGTTGTAATAAATATGGCGACAAAGATAAGGACAATAGTCCAAATAATGTAAATATTGTAGATTAAAATTTATTCTGAGATTTTGGCTTTACAATTGAAACAAAATAAATAATAAAATATATGTATTTTTCCTCAGTTTCTTCTTTAAATAATTTTATAATATTTTAAACTTAATACAGATTAAAATTTTTACTTTTCAATTTTATAGTAAAATTTAGTATCAATTAATCAGAATGATTTCTATTTTAGTCCAACCCTAACATTAAGGCATTAATAATTATAACCAAGTTTTGTTGTCAATGTTTT